CTATTCTACTTCAATAGTTTTGTCTCCTTATCTTTTACACACACACTCAATCATTTAATCATATATTGTAGATATGAATTTAATCAACTGGAATAAATAATATAGATAGATAGATAGATGGATGGATTGATTGATTGACTGGTTGATTGATTCATGTATAGTTCATTAGGTTTATTTGTATTACTTAACTATACCACACAAAAATAAAAAAAAATCTACTCACTAATTATGCCTCATAGAACCAGAAGGGAAATGAAAATCTTAGTCAATAGAAAATAACAAGGAAAAATATCAATATTTACGTCGATTTAATTTGTATTTCCAAAAATTATATGAAGATTCAGTAGACATTTAATAAATCTACTTTTATGTACTTCAATCAAAAATAGATCTGAACATGAATTAACCATCATTCTTTCGTATAAATTCTGTGTCTTCTTAGGTCTTTTATCATACTACAGTGTTTGTTCATGGTATTTCTTTACTCTGAATGACCGCTCAGTGGTTTAGAGGTTAAGCGTTCGCGCGCTCGTTACCGTAAGTCTTAGGTTTGAATCTCACGGGTGGGATCATGAATGTGTTTTGCTGAGGAGTTTCACAATAGAATGAAACGGCCGTCAAGTGGATTCAGATTTCCCATGGTGGTGTAGGTTTGATTGACTCATAAACTCAACTATTAAATTAATAAACAAGTGTTTGTGGTTTGGAATACTTATAGTAGAATCAAATTAAATCATAAGATGCTTATTATTTAATTTGTAGAATGAAAAAAACAAATGAAACAGGATTAAACAAAATCACAAACTTAATATTCGATGGTAAACATTTGTTACTGTGGTCAATTTATAAGGAGCCTCATAAGAGGAAAAGAAATACAGTCTAGTTTTTCATACTTTTCAATGTTACCTTAACTGATACATAATCAGAAGGGGTTTTGTGGATACTGTAGTAATTTCCATGGTTGAGATCATGAGTCAATTGAAGCTAGACCACCATGGAAAACCTGGAAGTGCTGGACGGCATTTTCGTCCTATGGTGGGACTCGTGAATAATGCACATCCACGATCCTGCCTTGCGAGATTCGAACCCAAGACTTATCAGTCCAGTACTTCAGATTTTTCACAATGGTCTAGCTTCAATTGACTCATAATCTCAACCCTTAAAATTGATACATAATCCTGATGCTTATCAATTACAAATTGTACTAATCTTGAGAAAATTAGTTTATTTTAAAATATCCAATAGTCGTTTATCATGCTAAAATAAATGAATTCAGACAGTAGTGTTCTGAGTTAAACTATTGATCTTGGAACTGAGTTTAATTAAATGGTAATGATTATTTCCTTAAAATATTCTCTACATACATACAAAGTCATGATAAAGTGTACAGTTTCATTGTTATTATATGTAAAAATTCAGTACTTTGTCTGGAATTGTTATCTTATTATAAATAAATAAATTCGCCAACTTAATTAAATCCAAACTGTTCAATAACTCGTACAAGTTAAACACTAGCATATAACAAATAGTAATTTTAACAATCTCGATAGATATGTACTGTCAGAATGGGGGTTTTCTGTGGACATTATAGTAATTTTGATAGTTGGGTTCATGAGTCAATCGAAGTTAGACCAACATGGAAAACTTGGTAGCATTAGAAGGTCATTTCGTCTTGATATGATACTCCTCGATAATGCGAATGCAAGATCCTGCCCGCTGGATTCGAACCCATAACCTATCGGTTTAGCGCGCAAGTGCTTAATCTTTGTATATGGAGTGAACAATAACTTAAATGGGGACAATCAATTTACTGTGTAGTGTGAAATTACACAGTTTTTCAGACAATGTGAAAACCATAAATTAACATTTTCATTGCAAATCTTTCATCAATCGTCTAAAATTTTATCGTCTCTTCATTGCTATTACTCTTTGTTTACACTCTCTTTCTCTTCAATTCAATCTTCTTAACCTTCAACTGCCAGGTATTCCACTTTCGATTGGTGTTACATATTATGTATGTCGTAAGATATATGTGTAGCATAAACCACAGACATATTTCAAGCACGATTTTACCAAAAACAACAGTAGCATAATTAGAGCTTATAAAGTACAATTTTTGAGTCAATCAAAAATACATTATCAAGACTACGTATAAAAATATCATCAAACAAGAATATAATTCTGATATGAATATAATGTCAGTTAGGCAAGTTAGTAAGTAGCTAAAATTAGTAGCTTGGTAAATGAAGCGTTGAAGTTCAAACAAAAAAACAAACAAACTAATTGATCCGAGTTCCGATGTGTATATCAACGATTAGCTGAAGCTGGTATATCTAGCTGATGAATTCTGAATAATACTAATTATACGTTCAAGATACTTTGATAAACCATAATCCGTTCATTTCACAAGATAACGAGAATTAATCATTTTGAAAGAAAAGTTTTGTATTTTTCATTTCTCACTTTTAAATAATAAAAATCTTTAACTAAAAGTCATAGAATTTACAAAAGTTATTAAATGAAAATCTTTTTTTTCGGGTTAGCTTTTTTGCGAGTTCGTCTTCTACAGGATTAGGTCGCTAACCCCATGCCCAACCCTCCTCCTTTGTCTGGGATTAGGACTGGCAGTAGCTCCAGTGGGGGGCCTACGAGGACTTAAATGAACATCTATATTCCAGATGAAATTTCGGAAATAGATTAGTGAAGTTTAATGATTTAATAAAAACTTAGTGAAAATAGTAATTATTTTTTAAATGAATAACTAATGTCATTTTGTTAACTGTTAAAGGATTGAACAAGTGTTTCTGGTAAGACTATAATTTGTGGATGACTTTCAAGCCAAGCCATAGTGAGCTTGACAGTGTCTACCTACTTATTAGGAGTTATAAAGGAGTTTGAAGAATATGGATTATAATTCACAGTTGATGGTTAGGGTTAAGTATTATATTTAGGGTTTCTATCACGAAATGACATCAGCTAAAATGACAAGATGCTATTTGACTAAATAGGTGAGTGAATTTCGCGCCAAAATCTAAGATTTGTTATCTTATAAATTATAGACTGATCGTGTTTCTTTTTAATTCAAGATTCTTCAGTCAGAATATGATCGTACTGATTTTTGAATGTTCAACATGCTTTAAATATAAGTATCAATATGAATAGTAGAAAATCATGTATGTTAATAAACCTTTGATGTAATTGTGATGATCCAGTGAAAGTGAATTTTAATCTGTCCTTGTTCATATTTACGCATTATAAGTAAGCATCTTGATCTAGTTTTGATATATCTATTTCTTAAATTTATAAATTATGATAATCATTGAAATTCAAGATGTACATTTTATCATATTTAAAAATCACTTGTCGAAGGTACTTACATTTCATTTCCTAATTCTTCAAATGTTACTAATATTCTCTATTAATTTAATACATTCAGTTAGGCAGTAACTTGTTATTATTAAGTTTTAAATCGAATCAAAATGATCATTATGAATCTTAATGTTTCTCATTATTTCAACAACAACGACAAAAAACTATTTTAAGAGTAGAGATCATCAGTACATTAATACTAGACCACTATGAAAATCCTGTAAGCACTGAACGGTCGTTTCATCCTATTGTAGGACTCTTCAATTCACTCATGATCTCAACTATTAAAATTATTATAATATTCACAAAACCCCTTCTAATAAAGGAAACAAACAAACAAACTATACTTCAAATTTATTTGCTAAGATTTTACAAATAGATTCTTCCTTGTTCATGTGTCATATTAACTTGGCGCCTAAAATACTGTGAAATGATTCAATCAAATTTAGGCAAACATTCATTTGTCATCAGTTATAATAATTTATTTATAGAAATATAACAATGATTAAAATACAAATGATAATTGACATCAAATTAACCGATGCCAATAATGATAACCGATATAAATAAAATAGTATAGAGAAATTATTAGTTCATTGGTAAATGGTGAATAGCAACAATAAAAAAAACCAACCAACCAACCAACCAACCAACCAAACAAACAAACAAACAATCTATTAAACAGTAAACTAGCTATTTTATCCCTTTTATTATAAATATACATTTGACAAGTATATATATATTTACAAGCGATAGCTAGACACATACGCACTAGAGGAAAAAATAATTGTTACAAAGACTTTTAACTTGAATACAACATACAATTGGTTTGTTACCAATGTCTTTCATGAGAGAAACACATATACACCACTATATAGATTCATATATGTATATAATACTTAGCTTTCTATAGTTATAGATGGTTATGTAAATGAAATTTAAAAAAAAATTTGTATCTAGGATAATCCATGTTGAAAGGATAAAATAATTATGGGATATTTATTGTTTACCTTAATTCTATTGTAATAGCTTCTTATTGTTTGAAAACAAAATCGGTTCTCAATTTAATGTTTCATCAATGCCAATGGAATTGAATTGTTAATCACAAAAACACGAATAAGAATCATCTTATAGATTAATAAAATCATTATCATCATCATAGTCCCCATCATCATTATTAGTGCTCAGGGTTATCAATTAGTGATTCATACAATCAATAATAATATTATGCTTATTATGCAATCGAATAAATATCGAAAATTTATTTTATTATGCGATAATGGATAATTGATTTGATTAGTTACAATCATAAACTTAACAAATTGTTTTGTTTTCACACGTATACTGTATATCTTTAACGGATAAAGAAAATCAAAGGCTTTAACATTATTATATTCACTAGTGAATTATAAGACCGACGTTATATTCTATTTTCATGATATTACCCAGAAATTATTTCGATCCAAAAGGAGTCTATGTGTGTGTGTGTGTCTGTTTGTTTGCAGTTTTCTTGATTGAAATGAATGAATGAAATAAAACAATGAACCGATTACTTTAGTGAATTATAGCCAACTAAATTTGAACTTTGTGCTATACATCCATTTAACATATAGATACATTATATAAACATTATGGATGCTAATAATGCATTGAAATTAGGAAGATTATTTCGTGTGCCTTATGGTGGAGAAGGTGTGGATTTTATAGATCAATTAAATTATCAATTTACAAGTGGTATAATTGTATTATTTATTGTTATGATTGGATTTCGTCAATATGTAGGTAAGTCCATATTTTGTTTGGAAGGTTTCTTCTGTTATTCACCCAATTAATAACATATAGAATATTTATGAAGATTGAAATGATTGTGCAATAATATCAATTGTGATATCATTGAAAACCATTGAACATTCTTTGATGATTTCAATAAATCGATTTTATATACACATACGTTTATATGAATTTTGAAAGTTTATTGTTTTCACAAAAAGTAATCTACTGAGAAAGTGTTATAAATATATTAGTGGGTAGATTATAAATAGAAGCTGTGACCTATGATGACTGAAGTTTTCTGTATTCAATAAGTTTGTTGTATTCGGCGTTTTCAGTCACTTTTCAATTCATTTAGTGAATAAGTACCGGGGATTTCGTTTCAAGCTTTTACTTTTAAAACATTGATACTTTTGTTCAGGCATGGTTAGCAAATAAGTGCAAATAACTTCGGACAACTAAAGTGAACTCTTTAGTAAGAATTACATTTCAATATCTAATATCCGTACATTAAATAAAAGGAAGTGTTAGATGGAGCACATTTGTTAAACAAGGAAAACGTTATGGATAATCTCAGCCACCTGTAATCTTGGATACAATTTAAAAACTAGGTAGTAACTGATAGTTGACATTTATAACGTCACATTTTGAATACGAAGGAATACAAAAAAAAAATTAACAACATACGATTTCGATTCAGTTCTTTAATGTTTGAGTAAGTTTCTAACGAGTTTGTTTAGGTGATACTGAATTATGCCAAAGAATTATTAGTTAAAATATACAAAAACTTAATCTAATTTAATTTCTTTAATTAGTTGATCGTAATAATGATGCATTTCTCACAGATAATGAACATCACCTATGAACTTGTTCAATATTCAAAAAATACACATCAGCTGAATTATAATATCCAGTTCACTAGTAACATTTGTATATTCTAAGAGTTCTGGTGAAAAACTGTGATATTTAAAGCTCAGAAATGTTATGAATGAAAATACTGTCACCAGTGATATTCACTGTTCATCAACCTATGTAGAAAATGAATTAAAGACGAAGGTCAACTCATTGGTTTTGACAGTGACAGATTCATCGCGATAATCAGGTATGATTATGGGTTCGCACAACTTATTAGTTCCATATAAGGGCGAGAAATTCATCCTTCCTCTCTGGTTTTTAATGGTACTCCATCATGGGTCAACTTTGCATACTTGTTACATATTGGATCCAGGTTCATAATGTTATCATAATTTTTGTTATTGATGACTAAGGTACTTTTAAAAGTTATGAATTTATCTATAATAGATCCAATTAGGCTTCACATACTTGCCACTTTGAATTATTAATCACTGTAATTGAAATCAATGTAATAATCCATATATCAATATATTGTACTACGTTAGTATTAGCGTTACAACAAATTTTCACCTGTTTACACATGCTTTTGTCCTTATGTTGATTTATAAACGTTTGTGTAATATTTTACGAAATAGAACTGAAATGATTCTTGATGTGATCAGAAACTCGATTAAGTAGACAATTATTATGTAATAAAGAAACTAGATTTTTCACTTATATAAACAAAGAAACTATTCACATTAATAATCCTGTGAAAATTACTTTCGTCCACTTAGATTCTATTTAAAGCATGAACAACAACATTTTTCATCAAGATGAGAAGAATCCATTTCATTAAGAAAACATGAAGAATATTTGAGTGAACAATTGTTTCAATAACTTCATCATCAGGCTCTACAGTTATAAGTCCATAATTATAATATTTACAAAGGCCAAAAATAAGGCATGAATTAATGAATTTGACAATGTTATGTGTTAAAAATGGTGAATGTTTGCATCTGTTACGATATATATATACTTCAAAATTGTATTATTTGCAAATCAGAAAGGTAATTTAATGTAGGTCAGAATGATTTGGAGTAAAGTGTTCAGTCACAATAAATAGAATAGTATTATAGTAAAATTGAAAATGCAAAAAAAATAAAATGCATAGTAGAAGAATTTCATCTTGTCATTTGAGATAATAATAATAACAATAATAATACTGTTGTGTGAATATAATATGTAATAAAGGGGGTGTTACCTAGGTAATTACGATAAACGAATTGGGAATAGATGGATGTGAAGATAAAGATAGAGATAATAAAAAAGAGGTAAGATGTTTATAATATTCAGTTTAGGTATCCGGTGATCCAGTCATAGGCCATGGTAAACATAGAGGCTGGATATACTTTTTCTAGATACATAAGTTTGGTCTTCTGGATTTGATCCAGATGGCTTGGGCTATGTAGAGCAATCGTAATCTCCATGAGGTAGATACTTTGGAAATTGATATAAAACAGAGAAAGCTTCCTCTATTTCGATATGATGTTCACTATCTACCAAGTGTGAAAGAATAGTGCTGTTAATCGATTCAGTAACTCTTTTTACCAACCATGCTGGTACATGTCCACAAACACGCAAGGATAAAGCCCGTTGAGTACGGCCTATGAAACTAGCTCCACAGGAGCAGTTGAATTGATATACACACATGGAGAAGCCCATCAGTGGTAACCTATCCTTGATTAGTTGTGTGAGTACTGGTTTAGTTGAGAAAATTATGTGTAGCTTGGCGGCGTGAAACGTCCTTTCGACAGATCTTTTGAGTCGACGTGTTAAAATGTCACCCGCTATGTCCCCTTTAAAGTCTAGTCTCAGATATAAGGTTTTTTTACTGACTGTGTCACAATTTATTCGTTTTTAGTATTTTTTAACGAAATTATCTGGATAGCCATTATTTCGTAATGTGTTCTTTAGTATATCTATTTCGCCATCCTCACTGTCTTCAGAACATAACAACTTGATTCTGTGGTTGAGACACTTAATCAAATTTATTTTATATTGAACAGGTGTGAAGCTTTTAGTTGTCATATTTAAGAAGTAACTGAAAGCTTTAAAGGTATTCTAAAACCATTTATTGTTATATCCCAATGAATATAAATATTTCTGGCGTTTCGTAGCCTACTATAGGCAACTTCTTCAGAGTAAATAAATAATTATTAAGTTTCTAACCAATGTTAGTCTCAGATTGATCTCAATTGGGGTACCATTGAAAACCAGAAAGCATAGAAGAGCTGTTTTGTACTAATATAAGACTTTTCAACAACATATTCAAGGGTCTAACTTAGAACCCGCTGGTCGTCTGATGAAGATGCACAAAAGTTATCGACGAAAAATACAATCGTTTATTCTTTAGGTTGTACAAACTTTTTCCCTGACCAATGTTATTAGGTTAATTAGTTTTTATTTTTTGATTAATCCCTTCCCCTTCGATATTATTTTCTTTCATGTCTGATTTATGTAAAACATCTATATATTATGTTGTATTTAGCGTAAATTAAGCAGAAAATCCAGATGATTAGTTTCTCAAATGTAAACCCTGGTGTGGAAATTACATAATATGTAACATTACAATGAGTATTGATCTGATTCAAGAATATTCTCACCTCAAAAAAACAAACAAACGAAGTAATTAAGTGTAAAACTAATTACCTTTTAAATAATACGTCTTTAATATCATGACCATACATGATCATAAAAACAAATTGGATGTAAACGGATGCGAAATTATTTAGCCATTAAAGTATCGTTGCTAATGTGTGTCATATTTAGATAGAACAGATTTTCAGTACCTTTTCATAGTGTTAATTAGAATCGCGATTAGTTTTGAACTTCTTTGTAGTTTACACGTTACTTTCTAATCGAAAATGAACTGAGAACACTCAGTGTTCATTGAGAGTTAAATCATTATATCATCATGTGTTTCGTATTTTCTATTTTAAATAATTGCGAATAATAGATGACGCCCATCCAATACTACTTCTATACTCTTGTGGTTTCCCTTTTACCAATCTTAGAATTCAGCTAGAACTTCAAGAATTCATCTAAAAGTTGGTTACATTAATAGTTATGCGTTGACTGTTTTGTTTGAATACAGGCGATATGTACCAATGATGAGTTCTACCTCACCATAAAGTGGTTGTTTAGTATTCCCTGATTATCAACGATACTTTAGTCTAGAACCGTTAACAGCAAAAGCCACTTACAAACCAATAGGTTAATCATGGAAACGTACCACCTAAGTACACGGATGAAAGTAATATACTTATAAATTTCTAATTAATCCAAAAGACTAAGATAAAGAAATGGTCGAGAAAATACTTTTGGACACAAAAATTGCACTTATTCATTTGGATTGAATTGTATATAAGTGAATAGATTTAGAAGGAAACCACTCTAGTTTGAACTTGATAGGTAGCTGTATTTCCTTTAGGTATTTCTCTATCAAATGGATCGTTTATATTGAGTCTCTTACAATTCATTAATTGTCAGTAATATACGTAAATACAATGATAAATACATCTAGTTATACAAACAGGGTTACTGGGTTCATAACAGACCACTGGAATTTTAAAAATAACATAGTTATCTAACTTGTAATGAACTATTCGTTGAATGTATTATAAACAATGAATAAAAAGTCCAACTACTAAGCAACAGAAGAAATTTAAAACGTATTTCCCTAGTTTAAGACAAATGAAAATCAAGAAACACTGAATGGGTTTTTGTCATAGTGTAGTAAACAAGAACACGAGTGGAGACAATCGAACACGAAATTACAGAATATCTCACTAAAATCTGAGAATCATACAGTAAACAGTAAATTTACAAAATATCAGTCATTCGTCTCAAACTTGACTGTTCCGTTTGCAAGTCTCATTCCATCGTCTCAGATTTCACTGTTCGTGCATTTTAATATCAATTGCTTTCTGTTCCCGTTGTTACCTTCTCGAAATACATTGTACTCCTGACTGCCGTTATATACTACCTATGTGAATATAAGTAGCTCACAGCACAATACTTTAGGAGTCCTCAGTTGTCGGGCACCACGATACCATCAAAGATTGAACCCACAAAATTTAGGTTTGTCTGTGAAGATTTAACCTCTGATTACTATT